AAAATATGGCTCTCAAAAGAAATTTCAATTGTTGTACTGTTGATTTTTGGCTCTTTTCACTAATGAGTTTGCCAACCACTGGTATAGAAGGAAGGATAAAATGAAGGAAGGAAGGAAGGAAGGAAGGAAGGAAGGAAGGAAGGAAGGAAGGAAGGAAGGAAGGAAGGAAGGAAGGGAGGGAGGGAAAAAAAGGAACAAAAAAGAGAGGAGAGAGAAGAAAAGGAGGTTTATTAGGTTGGGCTGAGTTGCAGTAACAAATAGATATTGTCATGCAATGGTTCATCAAAATAGAGCTTTATTTCTCTGTCAAAGATGGTTCCAGTCACTTTTCAGGGTCCCAGGTTGGCTGCTGTTTTTTTGTCTTTAAAATGTGGCCCCCAAAGTTGATCAGAGGTTGTCAGATCAGTCAGGCAGACGGAAGAAACAAAGAAGGGTTCGAATGGGAGCCAGGAGCCCAGGTGGAATCATCAAATACCACTTTGGCTTGCATTCCATTGGCCAGAAGTGAGTCACAAGCCCACATCTAACCATAAGGGCTGCTGGGCCGTGAAGTGTAGCTGTGTGCTCAGAAAGAAGAGTAAACTGTCTGAATTCTAATTCTTTCTTTCAAGGAAAGAGAAAAGAAGTTGGTATGGTTTTAATTGAAAATATTGCAGCCAACATTTGTAAGAAGGAATAGTTAATACCAATTAAGATGGAAACCAATTTACAGTTAAAGTGCTTTCTCTCTTCCTCCTTGCTCTGTGCTATTTTTGTTGGCCTACATTTCATTTCCTTCCTCTTCTGGAAATAAAAGGTCCCACTACTCAGTCCACATAGTTTTGGTGAGAATGCCTTTGGCAAAAGAGAATAGAACTTTATCTTAGCCTGGGCCCCGTAGGAATTATAATTGGTGGTAATGGCTGTCATGCAGCTGGTTTATTTGGATAATGATCCCATGGAACAGGAATGAGCAGCCAGGGGAATAATAAGGTAAAAAAAGGAAATCCAACACAAGGAGGTGTTATCACAGTAGATACCACTGCTATGGGGACTGTAGTTGTGTGCCTGTAGATGGATGTGGGGAGCATTTATTCATTGGTTCATTGAGGTTTTGTTTGCAAACCTGATGGAAATAGCCTGGGGACTAAGTGCTACAGTAGTGACTGGAGCTAGAGGTGGCGGTGAGAGGAGCTGCACTGATGCTCAATACACATCCATCCCCAGGACACAGTGCTTGGGTCAGGAGTGTGCACCAACCAAGCCAGGATTCTAGAGTTCTCTCCCAGCATTTCTATAACAGGAGCTTGTTTCTCAGATCTTTCTTCCAAAGCTGCATGGATTTATCATAGGCCTTCTATCTATGTCCTTAGTTCCAGGCCCAACTTTCATATCTTCACTTATTTGATATTTATATTTCGGTTTTCAAATTCAGTGATATATCTAAAACTGCATGGTAGGTGCTTAAAATTTTTTACTTTGTAATTTCTTTACTCTAAAATAAAAGACTATACTTTGTCTGAAGTCTGTTTGATCATGTGATATCAGTATTATGGATGACAAAGATGTGGTGGAAAAATAGCTAAACCCTCCTAAGTTTCTCTCTATACTTCCCTGCTATACTAATAAATGTGCCCTGTTCTTCCCACCATTTTCCTTTTGAGGAACAATAGGCTATTTTCCTTTTTAGGAAATAATATCATGCTCAGATAAAAAGTTCTCTTATTTATAAATCTCTCTTCCATTCACTCTTCTCCAAATGTAATTTTAGGCAAGTCTGTTTTTGAAGTCCAAAGAGAAAAGAAATCAGCAGACTCAACGGCACATAACAAAAGGCAATGTGTGGTATCCTTGTTTCTTTTTATTGGAAAGGAATCATTTCTATTCTAGCGCAAACAATGTATATTTTACATCATAAAGCAAGATATAATTTACATATTACATTTCTTACGAGATCTTTATACCCTAAGTGTCATTCCCTTTTTTATTCGGTCATCTCTTCTGGTTCCATTTAATGTGCCACATACCCCATAAATCAGCATCTTGTTTCCAAGGGATTGGGGACACAGACAGAGAATTTGTAAGTATTCATCTGTATCTGAGTATAATGATGGTGAGGAGTAGGGGTATGCCTTTGAACTCTGGGGCTCTGAGGCCCTCTCTTGATGCCTGGCTCAGGAGCCAGAAGGTTACTCCTCCAAATCACATATGAACTCCTACTTATGTCAAGTCAATAATAAATGAACAACACCGAGTGCTTATACCATGGATATACTTCTTGATCAAGTGCTTAGATAATAGATGTTTGTGGTGTGCATTCACCAACAATGCCAGTTCCTATGGCTGACCAATACTGGTTCTTCCATGATATTCCCAGACATCTCTTGCTCAGGGAATATTGCAATATTGGGTAAAACTGCCCAGATTCACCTAGCATTAGGGTTATGGGTTCAGACCTTTCTGTTCACCACTGAAAATGGATGTCAAGATAGAAGCTTCAAATGACTTTACATGACCCTCTATCTCTTGGCTGCCTCTTCTAAGATTCCACCCCTCTTAGCAATTTTATTTTCAATGTATGGTTTCTGTTCCCTGCCCTAGAATCCAAGTCCTCTTTCAGCCATTCTTCTCAAACCTCCAACTTCAAAAGTTTACCTATTTCTTGGATTGCACTGATTTCACAAAGAATATTTTAATCTGTTAGGATGCACTGTTCCTTTGAAACTCAATAATCCACAGCAGCTAATGGGACAAAAGAATCAGTCCAGGGACTCTTTGGGAAGCAAGTAATATGTGTTGTTAGCCAGCTTATGTGAACCATTTGGTAAGAAATGTTTGAGTAGTAGGTGAAAAGAAACACACACAGGAAATTTGTTGATGAGAGCAAAATGCATCAGATGGGCTTCCTTCTTGTTACAGAGAAAAGTACAGAATCAACATTCAAAATACACTTTTAGACTGGGGGATGTTTGACTGAAAAAATAACACCATGAGCTCAATCTGGTAGGCCAAAACAAATATATTCTTAAATGCATCTTAAACCCCAATTCCTTGCCTGTCGCTGAAAGTTGACATATTTGGCCAAAATCAGTCTGAAGCTTTTAAGTCACTGTTAACTAAAGTTATTACAATCAAGCTGGCCAGGATGAAAATGTAAATTGAAAATGTGTTTGTTATGTGTATCTTAGATTATTTTGTTCAAATGATGTGAATTCTGAGAGGTCTATAAATATAAACCTATTCCAAATGCAAAATTATAAGCATTAGAAGCAAGGCATCATTTCCTTGCTAGAAAACAAGGTACTGTATCCTTCCATTAGCCTTGAAAACTTTTATAGTCCCCTTCCTTTCATGGCTACAAAGTGCTGGAAATACAGAGAATATGGGAAAGAAGGAAGAAGCAAATGTATAGGGCCTCACAACACCCCTGTGAGGTAGGTAAGTATTGTTAAACCCATTTTACAAAAAGGTAAACTGAGGTACCACATCGTAATGGGATTTGGTCAAGTCCACCTGACAAGTCACAAAAGCACAGCTGGAAACAAAGAGAAAGAAACAAAGAAAGGTCAGTCCTGGCTCCCAACCCTAGCCACTAACCTTTATTTCAAAATATTAGAAAATAAAATAATTGCCTTTTTTGAAATTTAGACAAATCTTTAAATATTCCAATAAACATGTGTCTTTCAGATTCCTGTTGAGTAGAAAAAGCGCAGATGGCCAGAGGGCTTTTCCTCCCGTCTCTAAGTGTAATTCCCGCGATAGATCAGGACAGACCAGCGTTCCACCAGAGCTCAGCCTCTAAACTCAAGGGCATCCTTACAGCTTCACATAGTTTCTCATTTATTTAAAGCCCTACTGTGAAAACAAGACCTGTTCTCCAACAGCTGCTCTATAAGTTGCCCTGTGGACCTTAATGAGAATTTTGTGGAGAGCAAGAAAGGAAACAAAATCCCCAATAAAAAGTCTCATCACTGTAGGGAGAAGGACAGTGGTGATGGTGTGAAATTTGCTTTTCCTTGTGTTTGAGAAACTGCAAACTTGAGCTTGCAAAAATATTTTATATATATATAAAATATATAAATATATACAGTAAATATATAAGTGTGCATCTGATGACCCTTAAGGCACCAATGAGATATAAGCTATGCCTTTCACAACTCGGTCTTTGTTTTCCGAGATAAATTTCTCTCCCTCATTCAAATGAAAAATAGTTCATCTACCAAATAGTCCATGACAGAAAATCCTTTAAAAACAACAAACATCTTTAACTTAATGTGGGTGATTATTAAGATAGGGATGATGGTGATATCATCTATAGCTTAGAGCTTAAATCTAGAGCTTAGGTCTAGAACTTATTGCTTAGAATGAGCCAGACACAGCCAATCAAACTGGAACAGACAGGCGAGTGACACATGATTGTTTCTCTCCCCTGCTACCCCCCAGTAGCTGATGGAAAAACCTTTCCATGACCAGCAGAGATGGAGACAGGGAGAAAGAAAAATCATGTCTGGCACAGATTCTTTAGAAAGATTGGCTTTTCAGAAGTTCCTGTAGCTTCTGTGCAGAGAACTGGGAAGAAGGATGGGGCAAGGCACTGAGGCTTCAACTCATCAATGAGGAGACTATAGGCAATTATATATATATATTGCTTCTTTGGCTGTCGTAGACTTTCTTAAAACCCATACAATCATAGGGAGGGGCAGGGGCTGAACCCAACTGAAGAAGCTTGGAATATATGAAGCAAAGCATGGAAAGAAGGGAAAACAAAACGAACACACCCAGAAACAAGTGTTGCTGGTGTCCCAGAGGGAGGAGGAGTGTTTGGTAACTAATTTTCATTTGGCTCCTCTCCTGTGCTTCTCTGCCATGGTCCCAATAGTTTAGTTCTGTTTGTTTTTGTGTGTTTTTTGGTTTGTTTATTTTTATTATTTTTTCCAGCAGATGAAGAAATGACAGAACAGGATAGGTGTCTTATGGTTTTTTTTGGATTTCTTCTTAGGCCTGTTTAATTATTTTTTTCCTCAGTTGACTGTTGGCACCTGGTTCCTCTGTAAACTATATTCCTTGGCCTTCAGTCTCAGGTTGGCAATGCTGTTGGCCATGTTGATGCCCTGTGCAGGGCTATTGTTGGCACATGTGGCAGAATAAGTAGCCATGGCACTGTAGGGACAAAGGAGAGAGCAGGGAGAATAACAGGCATTAGTTTCACAAAGCTGTAAGTCTGTGCCCCAGATGGGTGTGACTCTCAGAACAGGGGCCGGCAGGGGCAGGAGGGCTGGACAAGATGACCTCTGAGGTCCCTTACAGCCCCAGGTTTCCATTAGTCTAAGGCACTTGGAAAAGGGTGGCAGTGTTTGAAAGGGCAGGGGAGAGCAGTGGAGAGTGGACAAGGGATGGGGGAGAGAGGCATTCTCTGTGTTGGACTCAATGAGTCATGATTTATTTCTGGGGTGAGAGAAGAAAGCTGCTTGTGCTGAATAACAGGTGTGTGATCAACTATCCAATTGAAACTGTTCAAAGCCCTCTTCCTGCCTACATCTCTGGCATATGGGAGCAACAAGAAAGAAAAGGAGGCATTTGAAAAGAAAAAGTTTTACCTTCCTCACTCTAGGATGCTGACTTTCACTCTAACATGTTTTAGATGATCAATAGATGCCATATTAAATACCATTCTTGGAGAATCCATTAAACAACCCAAGATAACTTTTGTGCTGTTCTCCATTCCCTGGTTGATAGTACCAAGCATTGCCCAATCAAGAGGAACCCATCCCGTTTGGCGTTGATTTGATAACTTTTCAAAAGGACTTGAGTAGCTCTGGACACTGCTTTTGGGTCAGTCATTTTGGAGATGTTTAAATCTCCTAGATAAGCTAGCAAAGGCTTCAGTTTTAGGATTCCCGACCTTTTTCTCACTGTCCATATTGTTGAGAAAAAGCTGAAGTTTTTGTTGTTGTTGTTGTTGTTGTCAGAGATTGTAATTAAGACCTAGGAATACCACTGGGAAGAAATTTGTAATTGGTGGTTTTCTGTTACTTGTACCCATGAATTTCTTCTAAAGGAAAGAGTAATGGTTTCTTTGACTTGGATGCAAATTATCCATTACTTTATATGAACAGTTAAAAGGGTACTTGTTTTAATTAAATGAAAATGTTTCTAGGTGTTTCTAAGATTAGCAAAATCCCTTCCTACTGAGGTAGACGTACAAATGGAATGATGTATGCTCTTCCATTGCCTGTATTCCAAGGCAATTTTGTCAGTCACACAGGAATTTGTGCTTCTGGGAACCAAGTGACAGACCAGAAAGAGAGAAACCTAAAGCTACTGCACAAATAGAGCAACTGTATCATTAATCTTATTTGGGACATCGCATAGTCAAGGCTTATAGTCAAGATCCACAATAGCCTATTTCAGCTCAGATACTAGCAATTAACCCAGGAAGACTAGGTTGAAGAAATATAATTAGTCCCAGGTTACTAGGTCTTTCCAAAAATACATATTCTTAATGTAAAATCTGTATAGCACTGGTGTGTGTGTGTGTGTATGTATTATAGCAGAAGGAAGAAGATTTAGAAAGGTTATAAAAGATGCTTATGTTCTTGCATTTCATTTTTGCCTACTTTGCTCTTTCTAATTTCTGGATTGATGATTTTAACCATCTATGCAAAATTAGGTTTTCCTCTCCTTCCCTGGACTTTTCTTCTTAGCACTTATTGTAATTCCTCAACTGTAGGTTCCACAGATGAGACATCATATCTGCCTTGTTCACCTCTGTCTCCTTAGGTAGAGTTAACATCCTATCTACCACATATTTGGCATTCAAGAACGTATTTAATGAATAGATAAGTAAGACTAACTGATTCCAGCTCATTGTCACTTTTCTCTGTCATCCTGCTGTGTGTAATGATTCTAAAAATATTTCACCAATATGCTTTTATTCTTAGGAACTTATTCATACCTGATAATTTGACTATCTTAATAGAATGTACAAAATTAGAAAAGACATGACAAAACCAGAATTGGTGATTGCATATCCATAACAATATCTTTTAACATGAACATGAATAAATATTAATATGGGTTAGACTAATAGAATAAACTATCACTTCTACCACTGTCTATCAAAGGCAGAGGCAGAAAAAGAGTCCCAGTTAAAGTTTTCAATTAGGAGTGAGATAACTGATCAGAACAACCCATTAAAATTGAACAAGTTTTTTTTTCTTTCCAATATACCAAGAAATTTCATTTATTTTCCAAACCCACATACATATAATCATTTAATTTCTATAGGAATTTCCTGCTTCCATTCAAGATTCTGCCAGAAATATAAGTGAATCAATAAATCCTCTATTCAAGGGAGTTCATAAATCAAAGATCTAAGTTGGTAAGAAAAGAGATACTTGGATTGGGGACATGTACCTGAGACATAGACCACCAAATCAACCAAACAGGCTTTCTCAACCAGGTTTTTGTAAGAGAATGAAGCCCTGGAGATGGTACATAGAATCATTTTAAATGCAAAGGAGAGAAGCTGAAATTGTGAGTTATCTGTGATATCCATTAAGTACTGAGGATGAATTTGGATGGCTTCCTAAAATAGAAGACTAAAACTTCTTGAGAGAGCACTTATAAAACTGAAATTCCTAAAGTTGTAATTTCAATGTTATCTATTATAGAACCATGCTTGCTGTATTTTCTGCAGAGTTTAATAGTGTCACCTGATAGTCTAATCTGAAGACTGACTATGATAACACATGTCTTAGAAATACTGAGATTCTCTCACTAATGCAGGCCAAATATTAATATCCTAAAGGAGGTGAATATTGATCCACTTTCCATCTCAAAACCAAGTTAGTGTAAGTTAGTGTCTTGCACAGGAGATGGGATTTTCACTGAGATATTTCCCCCTAAAAGGCAACCTGTTATCAGAGCTGAGAATAACTTCCTGTCCGGCTGTACTGTGGGCTGTTACAAGGATATCGCTGTATTCATGAGGCCTCAAGCTAGTGGTTGATGTTCATGAGTAAGTTTTGCACATTCCAAGGAACTTGGCAAGTAATAGCATTTGCACTTGATAAATGTTCAGGAAAGTTAGAAACTTTCAAAAATTGACCTAAAATATGCCAGCATTGCATAGCCATAAGAGATAAATTAAGAGTGAGTCTTAATTCAGAGCCTCTTAACAAATGCGTAGACGATCTAACTGTACAAATAGAGACTACAGTGAGGGTTTTGTGCACATGCAAAAGGATTGTGAATCTGTGTTCCCTGAATACCTGGACATGGGTTTAGATTCTCAACTTGAATTAAAAGTGCCGTGTAGGCAAGTAGGGAGCAGTCCTTTGACTTGCCAGTGAGGCCTCAAGACTTGTCACAAGTCAGAAAAGACAGAATTAGTGAGTGGGTACTCCAAGAGCAATTCACTCATGCTATTAAAACAGCATTAGAAGATGGAGAGGACCCGCTTGCAAAAATGACAACAGGTGCAAGAGAGCCTCGAGTGGCTGCCAATCAGAATGTTCATGACCACCTGTTTTCCATGTCATCAAAACTTACAATGCTCTGTGTTGGGCAAAGAAAGAGAACCCTGGAATGTTTTCTCACAAGACAGATACCAAAGGCAATGAGTTGTTTTCAACTAAACTTACAGGACCATTGGAATCATGTAAAGTGCCCACCCTTTCCTATATAGGAGTAAGCTTCCTGGGGCAAAAAGATGAGATGGAAACAAAGTGATTTATATAGATCAAGCACACAAATCACACCAAGAGCCTGCTGACCAACACCCAGAGACCCTGCCTTTTGGTTTTGCTGTATGAGTAAGAAACATGTACTTTTTCTAACATGATAATGCCGACATGACCCTGGGACTGGGGGTTCATGGAGGTTGGCTCGAGCAACATTTCTATTTCATTTTAACGAATGTCAAGTTCTCTGTGTTCACAACCAAGAAACTAGGTTGATGAATAAAGGGCACTGAAGAATTAGAGATGAAAAGGAAATTCCCATATCCCATCTGTGAACTCAGCAAGTCTACCCTGAGACTCACGCAAAGTGGACACATGGATGTGAGCTTGAACATTTTCCATCTCCTTATTTGGAGATGCCTAACAGATGGCGCTCAGCCATACAATGCAGTGTGCTAACCACCACAAGGGCAGAATTCTGTTTTCACCGGAGACAAATAATTTTTGATGACTTCAGCCTACTCTGAGAGGTTGTTGTGAGGAAAAATGTGTCACAATGGTTGCCAAACACCAAGAAGTCCAGAAGATACCATACATGATATGATTTTAAAGCCAGGAAACTGGCAGGCATCTGCCTCTCTACTTCCTCAGCAGCCAGAGTGTAAGTCCCATAAGTCACAAAACAATGAGGACAGAGAAGGGGTGGGGGGAGAAATACAATAATAACTGACTTAGATTTCAACTCTTTGGTTTTGTATTTGTCCCTTTTGGACAAATGATGACAAGCTGTTGAGAATTCCATCCCAAAGACAGATTGGTTAGCCTAAGACATCTATGTGCTTTCTGAGATCCTAGGGTTTTCCAGCTCAGGAGTTTTCAAAGGCTATGGAGCTGGAGGTTTGCCCAACTCTGTCTGTAATGAGTAGAGGTTGGAGATCGTCTCTTAGGTTTGTTCATTTGTCAGTGCAAGAACACGGAGGGTATACTTGCTTCATCTAAGAAAACTTAATATGAGTTTTCCTAGGGAAGTTTACTCTTTAGAGAGGGAAACTGATGTTTCCTTTTGGAAGTGATCTTTTGTGATTTAAATGATGATTTCTAATTTCTGATTTTAAAATCCAGAAGTTAATTTTAGAAATTTAGCTTTTGAAGTGAATACACTGGACCCTATTTCATTGATAAGCTTCTGTTTGCACTGCATGTCCAGGGATTCTTCTGCCATTTTTAACTCTTTTTACAGATGTGTTATGTTGGAAGCCTTGCATCTCTCTTCTGTTTCAACAGTTTGTGTACTTCCTTTTTGAAATGCACATTGCTTATCTACAGATTCCAAATGCCCCAGAGAAGTAGGTAATAGGAAAACTGTAACTAGCTCAATCTTAGATACAAGGTTATATGAGAGAGAGATGATCCAACTGGCCTGAGAAGCAACAGGAGCCAGTTCAAGAACATAATTCCTCTGAGCTCTGCTCCACACCCTACAGTCATTTAAAGCCTCACTATTCCAATTATGTCCCAAGTCTCAACAGTGTGGAATGACATGAACGCCTGTTAGCACCACAGAAGCTGAGTCTGCATTGTAACACTGTCCCTGGCAATCCATACACCCAGGAATTTTTGAGGAGCCCTGCTCTAGGCTACAGACCTTACAGGCCCATTTTCTTACAGCTCCTGTTGGTTTCCAATGGTATTCCCCACTTAAGGACCTCCCTGCTTTCATTTCTAGGACTGCAAGTCCCGCTTTCTTAAACTCTTATTTCCCACTTAAACCCTACCCCCAGCAGCCACCCTCTTCCCCCTCTGACAAGTTACCTTTTCAGTGTCTTCCGTTAGAATCCGTTATGAAGTCCCTCGTGTAAACAACATCTTGGGAGGGACGAGGATCTATTTTTGAAAGTGTGAAAGGGAGACATGAGCCAAATGCGTTCAGCAGATGTCAGGCAGCACCGTGACCACGACCAAAGGAAGGGAGGAGGAGGAGGAGAAGGTTAGAGGAGAGAAACTGTGGACAAGGATAGCTGGCCTCCCTTTTATTTGTCATAGGTTCTCTTGGAAGCCCAGCCCTCCCTCTGGAAATGGCCCTCCAGAGCAATACTGCAGAGCCAGGCCACACTCTAGCTATTATAGAAAAGGGCATCTCTAGAGAAAGGCTTCTCTAATATTCTATCTAAAATAGTAGCCCAAAGTCTAGGACTTGGTTAATTAGTGCTACCCAAGAGGCAAAGGACTTCAAGATAGGGAGGCTTAATAGCTCTGGTGCAGGTATGATTTTCACTGAAGGGAAAACAGTTCTGAGCTAAACCGGGGGTGTGTGTGCCAAAAACAAGCCCTCTTCCTCGGGTGGCAGGTAGATGAAGACAATTACTAGGCTAGTAGTGTCTGTGTGAGGGAATGCTTTGTTCCTTCTGGTAACTCAGTTGCCTGCCTGACATCACCACCTCTAGCATGCTCACGGGAATGAATGAGGTCATGACGTGCTAAAAATATAGTGTGAACCATATGTCCCAGTTTGCCAGGGACAATCCCAGTTGAATGCTTGTTGTTCTAGTGTTATTATTAATAGCACACCCCTTTCACTCTCAGAAGTGTCCCAGTTTTGACGATAAGTTATACAGTCACTACTCTAGATATGAAAGACACCCAGGGGGGGGAAAAAGCTACTTCCTGTCCCATAATCCTGAACATATACACACAGTTGCTTTGAGTCCTATTATTTTTCCTGCCTTCTCTGAGGAAGTCAGCAAACTGTCCTGTCCTGTCTGACACAACTGCCCTCTCACTGTCCCTGGGTTGCATGATCAAGCCCCGACAGTCACCCCAAGGGGATGTCCACACACCTCAGTGTCTTCTGTTAGAGACAGACCCTATTATAAATCAAAGAGCATGTTTATATCGTTTCCCACTCTTACACTGTTACTATTTTCAATATAATGTCTAGTTTAATTTAAATGAAAATATGGCCATGTGTCCTAAAATTTTGGACAGAAACGGGGATCATGCGCACTGGGTCTAATTCTAACTGTGAAAGCTTAAGCTTGGGTGAATGTTTAGTTTCTTCTTTGGAACCAGAGCAAGGACAGAACTACTACACCAGAGCATTCCAAGGGTTAACCAAGAGAAATGCCTTTTAATCAACATCACATGGGAAATAACTAACTTGACATAATAGTACCAACAGAAATAGCGAGTTAAATTTCCATAACACAAAAGGTCTATCGTTTGCTTTGCTTTTCATCACTTTTTTTTAAATCATTCCTTAACAAAACTTCTATTTCCAAACCAAGCTTCAAAATGCAAAATCATAAAGTATTTTGTGTCTAAACATAGCAGAAAAATCTCCAAGAAACCGAATAGCTTTTTGCCACTTTTAGAAATTAATCAAAATAGAAACACTTCAGTCAATATTGGGTCAAACAACATTATTATTGATTAAATTACTGCTTTAAGACATTGAGGTTTTGTTTCTACTTATAGCTGGAGATTAACTTATTCTTCATACAGAATATGAACAAAGTCTATAAATTTTTAATGAATTATATTTTACAAACTCTGTAGCTAAGAAAGAAGTGATATAAAAGTATACCATGAAATAAGTAAAAAGTACTAGGTTATATAATTTTAAGTGAAAAGAGAAGAATACAAAATAATATGTACACTAAGTCTACACTATATAAAATACTGAACTCTAATTGCAAAAGTAAGCAAAACTAGTTATGTCAAGATGGTGGAATTATGAGTATTTTTTAATGTATCTAGTATTTCTACATAATCTTTCAAATTAAAATAGAACATTTCCCAAACCGGCACACATAAACTGTTAATAATTTCAGTTAGATGCCCAATACAGAATATATATGATGCTGGCCCCGGGGTTTGAACTTCTGCTGAGGTCTGGTAACCTAACCCAGTATAAATTCAGAGAGGATTTCATCCCCACTGCTATAGGGGACTGCCCTCAGCCTCTCATTGGTAAGACCATATACAGCCATCTGGGTTGCTGTATATACAGCCATCTGGTATGAAAAGTTCCTACGTAGAACCCAGGCAGAAAAGGGCGCTGGACCTCCTGGCTATGACCAATTTCAAAGCAGAGACCTTGAAACATCAAGCTTGGAACCACATCCATTTCCTAAGACATTTAATGAGTCCATGAGCTATCAATATTTATCAGAGAAACACAGCAGACTTCTGGGTATTTAAAAATATTAAAGAGTAGGTGATTTCACAATGGTCTTCAAAATGGGTCTTGAATAAATTCTATGGGAGAGGAATCTGAATTTTAAATGGAACCCAAAGATATGACTAATCTTTTGAAATCAGCAAGGCTATCATGTCTGAGAGCAAGAAGAGTTTCCAGTTTCCTATGCAGCAGGGGTCTCTCTGTACTAAGACCAAAGTAATTCAGGCTAATTTCACAATGGGGGGTTCAAAAGAGATTTGCAAATGCAATTTCGATATTTCTTTCAAGAAACTGATTTGCAAGAAAAAGAACATTCGGGTGAGGCCTTTTGCTTTGATTAGAATAATCAACGTTTGAAACATATTTGCATTTCACAATGTGGTATTTTACATCAGGAGTTCAGCTTCCACTTGGGGAGGGGGAGAATAACCTATAATTAATTTAAACATCTCTTTAACCCATTAGTGAACTTTAACAATAAAAAGGTAACCAAAGCACAATAAATGAATTTGGAAATATTTCTTTCTCCACTACAGTCAGCCAGAGATAATCTTGATCTCGTTTCTAAGAGTACCCAGGTTTAGATTCAAAGAAAGGCACTGATATGGTGACAATATGCTAGGCACTTGTATCTCAGCTTCCCTCTGGCATTAACCTATAATTCTGAACAGCATGACAAATGGAGGTTAAAAGCCTCTCCAAGACATTGAAATAGTATTCTGTTATTTGCTTCTTTAAAAAATATTCAACTTTTTAATATAAAAGTTTAGTGTAAATTATACATTGCTTTTATAGTTTAAAAAACCCACACAAACAAACTGACCCCCAAAGCACTTCAGATAAGTAGATAAGATTTAGCAATAGAATAGGAAGGCAATTTGTACTATAAGACATCCTCTACTAACAAAGAACTGTGACCTTGAAACTGATCAAAATGATTTTGGATATTTTTTCCTTCTCTCTCTGTGACTCTCTTTTCCCTCTTCCCTCCTCTCTTCCTTCCCTCCTTCCTTCCTTCCCTCCCTCCTTTCTTTCCTTCCTCCCTCCCTCCCTTCCTTCCTCCCTCCCTCCCTCCCTCCCTCCCTCCCTCCCTCCCTCCCTCCCTCCCTCCCTCCCTCCCTTCCTTCCTTCCTTCCTTCCTTCCTTCCTTCCTTCCTTCCGTCCCTCCTTCCAATTAAAAATTAGTTTTACTGTGAATTACAGCTTTAAAATTCAGTTCCTAGTTGAGCATAGAAAAATGGATCTCTCTTAAATTTGGAAATGGAGTAAAGTTTTGTTTCAGAATGGTTGCAAGGGGGACTCTGAGCTTGGCTTAGTGATCTTTTCTTTTAGATTCTTCCCCATCTTTGAAGCCTTTGCAAGAGTTCCTGAGTTCAGAGGAGATTGCTGATGGCCTGCCCCTCTCTCTTCTGCCCCAAACCCTGCTTCTGGGGCAACTAGTAATCTCCTGTGAAAATCTGGGGATGTCAGCAAGTTGAGTGTCTCTGAAGAGGTTAGCCCAGTAAGAAATGTCAGCCAGCTGCACAAGCAACTTTGAACGTGACGGAGCGCTGAGAAACATGTGGAAGTAGAGCAAGGGAGAGTGGGCCAATCATTCACCTGTACGGAGAGGCCGTCCCCCAGGAGAAATAATCGGTGGGTCTTGGAGCAGGACGAGGTACAATGGGCTGTTCCACGGCAGTCACGTCTCCTGAGTAGGATTTGAGGAGGGAAGCGTTTTTATTGGCCAGCATGGCTCTCTCGTTCCTGCGGAATTTGGCTCTTCGGTTCTGAAACCACACCTGGAAGATGGTTGGGAAGAGAGAAGGGCACAGGAGGGGGATGGGAAAAAAGAAAAGGAGGTTACACCAAAGAAGTCCTGGTTGATTCTACTAGACAATGCCTTCCAAAGGAAGATGCAGGGGAGATATGGACTTCAGTAGAAACATGTTGTAATCTTCCTGAGATCTGAGCCATGTCAGAAAGCTCTTAAGAGTGAAGACTTATAAGGGGACCCTGAGGTACTTCACTAATCAGGATCCCAGAAGTAAGACCGTGACTAACCCATGAGATAGCAAAATTTGGTTATAATCCCTGTTTACAATCTAGAGGAAAAAAGAAAATCTCATTAAACGTCTGCCACAGAGACAATGACATTTTTTAAGTGCCTTCAAATGTAAAAAATCCTCTGCTTTCATAATGCTTATTGGCTATATAAAAGGAAATTTATCTTCCCTCAAAGTGGGCCCAGGAGTAAGCTTTAAGAAGGAGATGGTTTATGGGAAATGCAGGAAACAGCAGTGAAGAGTGAAGATACAGCAGAGAACAGCCATGGAAGGGTGTGTTCAGCCTCATGCGACAGAAGAGACTAACCCAGGACACAGACTCACACTGAGGGGACACAGACTGCCACTGAGGGGTAAGGGGACTGAAGATTTGTAAACCTTCATTTTGGTTATTAATGTTCCAGCGCCTCTGACATGCTGGACACAGGCAGGGAAGCTTCCTGAACTTCTAGAGAGAAACTTGTAAACAGAAATAAAGGTACTGAAGGGTGGAAGTTGAATGGAATACATTCAATTGTAGGGTTAGATCTTTATGGAGTGCCTGTTGTGTTGCAGACTCTGTGCTTAATGCTGGGACAGAGATGAGACTTAAGCAGCTCACAGTCTATTAAAAGAAGGCAGACATGGAAACTCAAAATACTACAAAATAAGAGTTTTAGATGCAATTATAGAAATGCATGACAAGGAATGGGAGAAAGAAATTCTATGGTGTAAGTTGGAACATTTGTAAAATTCTAGGGAGCAACCTTCACATAAACTACTGTGGGACGGGTGCCCAGTGGAAGGCCTGGGTTGAAGTCAAGGCAGAATCTGCACACATCTTTCCTGGCTCTACAGACTCCTAGCTCTTTTGCTTCACTGTGCCCTTCGACATTGCTAATAGAGCTATCATTTTAAAATGCACATATTATTGTACTAATGCCCTGCTGATACCATCCACTGGTTCCCTATCACTTGCAGAATCAAATCAAAAAGTCTTAGCATAGAATAAAGACTGTTCAGGAATGACCTCTTTGTCCACCAATCTGGCTGCACCCTACACAGCTTGGATCATATGCACTGGCCCCTATTTTTCCAACTCCTAGCCCAGACTCAAATCTATTGACATATTCAGTTATTTCCTACCTAAGTCTATTCACACCCAATATTCCCTCTGCCTGTGACATTCCTCCCCTTTGTCCAGGTGTCAAAAGATTTACTTTCAAGATTCGACTTTAACATCACCTCCTTTGTGAGATGTCATGAAAAGAACATGACTTTAATATCTTACAGAGTTGGATAAAATATTGGCTATGAGGTGTTAAAGACTTGTCCTTGGATATTTATTTAATTTCTCTGATCCTTTGTCATTCAAATCAAATGAGCATAATGATACCTACTCACAGGGTCATTGTGACAGTTGGCACAGTTTCAGTGCTGAATATATGTGAATTCTCGCTCCTCTTGTCCCTGGCAGATTTGATCATTCCTTTCTCTGTTCTGTCATTAATTCTTTGGTTTTATTGCTTTTTTAATAATAATTTTTAAAATATATATTTATTGATTTTTTTTAGAGAAAGAGAGGAAGGGAGAAGGAGAGAGATAAACATTGATGTGAGAGCAAAACATTGATCAGCTACCTCCTGCGTGCCCCCTACTGGGAATCCAGCCTGCAACCCTGACCAGGAATCAAACCAGCAATTTTTCAATGCATAGGATGATGCTCAACCAACTGAGCCACACAGCTAGGGCTTAATCCCTAATCCTTGAACATTTCTTTAGTGTGAGCATTATCTTACTACATTGTAACAGTATGGTGTACACATCTGTTTTGTCTGTCCCTAGTCTGTAATATCCTGAAGGAAGGCCATTGTCTTAGTCATTCCCAGAAACCCAAAAACAGTTCCAAGAGCATAATAGGTGTTTGATAAATGTTTGAAGGAAGGAAAAAGTAGAAGAAAAAAGATGCCTTGTGCAAAGATGATAAGATATGGCTTCCATCCAAGAAAACTTCACAGTCTAGTAGGGGAAGTTGGCTCACATACAATTCAATATAATACATATCATGTTGTGATACGTGCTGTACTTATAAAGAAGACCAGAGTCAGAAGGGCGTGGTTCAGGGGGAAAGGGTAAGACTTCCTGGAGGAAGAATAAAGTCGTGAAGGGAGAATTCTGGCCTGCTGGCACAAGGAATGTTCACGCTTCCAAAAGCCATTAGAATATAGTCGGGTGAGAGAGGAAGAAGATAAGTTAGTTTCTACATAAAAGAAAGACATTTAATTATGGTGTTGATGGGGCAAAATAGCTCCCAACCCCAAAATTGTCTTTTCACTCCCCTCACGTATGCCACCCCACCCCCACCCCGCATTTCCAGCATTGCTCTGACCAGGTTTCTTTATATAAAATTGAGGTCAGCACAGTAAAAGTGGCACGTTCTGATACTGTGGGTTAAGCAGTCTTCATGGACGTGCTCTGAGACAGGAGGGCTGGGCTTACCTGCACTCTGGCTTCAGTGAGGTTCACCCTGCGGGCGAGATCTTCTCGCACAAAAGCATCAGGGTAGTGGGTCCGCTCAAAGACGCGCTCCAGAGCCTGCAGCTGGCTGCTGTTGAAGGTGGTCCGGTTCCTCCGCTGCTTTCTCTTTTTCTTTTCCTCTGAGTTCAGCTGATCATCTGGAATGGAAAACATTAATGATAAGACATGAAAGTCATGTTGAGGAGGGATGGGGTTCCCCCTTTATACTTCTCTGTGTATCTACAGTGAGCTATTGTTTCCTTTGCTCACTGCTTTAGCAAGGTGCTAGAGCCAAATGCCACCCATAGGTGCTCATTAACATCCTGTGCCCAGAACCCCAGCAGTTCTAAGGCTTGGTTGCTGCTTTGAAATCTGAGACCAGACCTGAGCTGACACAGGGACACTTGTTGCATGCTCTGTGAAGCCTGTTTTGTGAAAGAGGCTAAAGGAAAATTTTACTGTTGTCCATGTTTTCTGTAGAGCTGGAGGAGGAAGAGTAGATGGCTTTAGACCTTATTTATATCAGACAATATTGTTTTCATTCATATAGTTTCACAACCAAGGAGATCAACTATCCCCTTGGTCTTTCTCCTCAACATACCCACCTAATCACAAATGCAATATTATAGAGTAAACTGATAAGAAGGGTTTCTTTTTACTGTATGTTCTCCTGGAAACAGCAAGTGATTCCTGGTTGCTTTGCTCAAGGCTCCGTGTCATTGCTGAGGCCTCAGCCTAGAGCAGAACTACTGCTCACAGGACCATCCACCTAAGCTAACACTGCCCAATTCCCTCCTTGGTTTCCTCTGAGTTCCCCCAAAAGTATACTGGCAAGCTGATCACCCAGCCATCTACAGTAGGTAGAGAGTCGTGTGCTCCTGTCTTGCCACCACACCTCAGCCAGGAACGATGGATGTGTGTATTGAGCAGAAAACCAGCTGTGCTAGCACCCCATCAGGATGTCACCTGAGACCCAGGCCACTGCCAAGTCTGTGAAGCAGAGACCTACAGCGTGAGCTGCTAAGGCTGAAGTTCCTTGGTGGGCCTGATGAATTGAATACCCATATCCAAAAGCTCTCTATCTCCAAAGAGAATGACTCAAAGAGAAATATGAGGGTGAGAGAGGATGGGGAGAGAGGAGAGCTTGGCTACTTGCTTCACTTTCTACAGGAAGGAGCTCTTAACTATTTTTCCAACATGTAAAGTCTCCTGATCTTCTCTGACCATAAGCATATGACACACTCAAGAGGACTATCAGTTCCAATGATCATGTCCTAATGACACCTACCTGAGCTCTAATATTATCTTTATTACAAATCTAGGGAATGTTCTAGATGTAGGTGCACATTCAAAGTTTAGCTCAAATCCAGCAGCTCCTCACTCAGGTCTCTCAGTGCCTAACAACTGAGGCTTCTAAGTCCTTTTTATCAGAGACTTCTTCCTCATGCAGGCTGCCTTGTCAGCAATACCCTTCAAACTTAGAAGAGAGAAGGCACATTTCTTAAAGTATCTAAATATAGCTTGTTAAATTTGTTTTCAGGGAAAATGGGAGACTTTCCTTGTCTTTACACACTGTTCTGTAGAAAAAACAACCACCTGTATGACCTCAACCACTTTTCTCTGGGTAGGAAGCCCTGATAGTCATTCTCTCAACTTTGTAGTTGGTCTGGCCCACCACCTCTGTAGTATTTGTAGATTTAAAAAAAATTTTTTTATTGATTTTATAGAGGAAGTGAGAGGGAGAGAGTGATAGAAACATAAATGATGAGAGTCATTGATTGGCTGCATCCTGCACAACCCCTACTGGGGATTAAGCCTGCAACCTGGACATGTGCCCTGACTGGGAATCAAACCCATGACCTCTTGGTTCATAGATTGATGCACAACCACTGAGTCATACCAGCTGGGCATCTGGTACTATTGAACCTCTACTAGGAGCTCTGCTTCCAAGTCACCACTGTGACACTTAATAACAAACTGATTGGTGGCATCTTGAGAATGGAAACAATTTAGTGGTCATGATTTCTGGGATCTCTCAAGTTCTGGAATATTCTAACCAGCATCCCAGTTATACCACTGTTTAGTTATTAGCAAAATTCATTTACAACAATGTCAACATTAGAATGCAAGGATCAAACACTGTGAGCAGTTAGTTGCAGTGCATTTGTATTCTTCCTATTTGCATATTTGGAGTCATTCCTATTGTCCCCATTCTCTTTCCCAAATTTCTTTGTATACAATACTATATGTCCTATACTTTAGGTCTTTCTATGTCATCCAGGCCTTTACGACAACACCACAACCTGCATTTCATGTTCTCATAAAACAGAAGTCTGCAAAAAATCCTTAGCCTCCATGCCTACCCCAGACTGAGACCAGACCAGAGGCTCTTGTTTTTAATCATATAGAGGGAATCCTTAATAAAGCCAAAGACATTATCCGTTTTCTTTCCTCCAGAAAAAAAAATGCTTCTCCGATATAACCACAAAGTCTCAACCCTTTGTTCTGTTGTGAAGCTTGTTTCTTCTTGGCCTGCCAAACTGTGGTCGCTAACAAGAGTATTTTATGTTTTGTTATTAGTTCTACAACCTGTTCCAGTATCCTTGGTATTTCTTTGTCATCTTCCACTGTTCACTCAAATCCCACTGACTGTCCACCATCAACCACCAGCTCCCCTGGCGTGGGAGCCAGGGAAATGGAGAATTAGAGTTTCTGACAGAGAGTAAATAGCAATGATGACCTGAGACCATTCCAGCAAAAATTTCCCAGCGAACATTCTTGTTGTTTTTAACAAATGAAAACAGCAGTCCAGATCATGTCGAAGGTGAGAAAAGACACACAAATGACAGGGGTCCAGGGAGTCTGGGTCTGGCAAATGTCCTTCAAAGTGTGTGGATAATAGAAAGAGACAGTGAGGGGGCAACAGGGACAGCTTGAGTGGCAGCCCTTGGCTCGTCTGTCTTTGCTCAAGAATCACAAAGTGCGAGTCCCCATTTTCCCCCTTACACACGCAAGCACAGGGTTTAGCACAGCTCTGCAGCAGTGTGAGAGGAAATATAAACACTGTAGAGGTTTAAGAATGAGGGCATTGGCTCGACTGGTATTGGCTCAGTGGTTGAGTGTCGACTCAGCAATCAGGTCACTGGTTCGATTCCTGGTTATCAGGGCGCATGCCTGGGTTGCCAGCTCGATCCCCAGTAGGAGGTGTGCAGGAGGCAGCCAATCGATGAGGTCCTCTCTCATCAATGTTTCTGTCTTTCTATCCCTCTCCCTTCCTCTCTCTCTAAAAAATCACTAAAAACATATTAACAAAAGAAAAGAAAGAATGGGGATATTGGAAGGACCTGTGATAAGTCTATCAGATTCTAAACTGAACATAAGGGAGATAAAGCAATGTGTTTTTATCATTGCTGGAAGATCATCTTGCTTATGAAAACAGCTACAGTGAAGGTTGATTTTGAAATATGTATTCAAGAATATTGGCATCTAATCAGGATGCATCTCATTCCTTAGAATTTGGAAATGGGTAAGATTCACTGAGCTGAAGAATAACCAAAGGGGACACGGATGCATATTTACCAAAATCATAATGCTTCAAATTCAAGGTGTTTACAGGTTTTATGGATGATTATGTATGTTATGGATGACAACTACTTACAAGCATGAAGTTATCAATAAGTTTTCAGATAAAAACAAGCCAAAATGACCCCATTAACTAGGTGCAATCATAAAATATTAGCACCAAATGAAACCGGAGAAGTTGGAATTCAGCCCTGTTATTTGACAAACGAGGTGAATAATACCTAGAAGAATAATGTGACTTGCCCCAAATAACAATACCAGTTGTGGCTGAGCCAGGACTCCCTAATGCTTCTCCATTCTCAAGAGCAGATGACAAGTGTGTGCTATGCATGAGGGAAGCAAGGGAATGTTAGGGATATAAACAAACAAACAAACAAAAACCACTACCCTGGAAAAACTTTATGAGAAAGACAGGTTTTCCATCATCTATAACAATAAAAGTGTAATATGCTAATTAGACTGGACAGCTGAACAACCTTCTAGACGACCTTCCAGACGACCTTCCGAATGAAGCCGGAGCTGTGAGGGCTGAGCCCCTTGCACGAATTTTCATGCATCGAATCTCTAGTAGTTATATAAAGAGGGCCTACAAAAGAGGGTCCATGTGTATCACATGTTGTCATTTCTATCAGAATAGCCATTGAAAAATGCAACCATTTTCTTTCTTCCCCCATTGAAAACATAGGACACATCTGTAATACTTTCAACAATAAAGATGCATTTTAAAAAAATGAAAGCCCTGACCCAACTAAAAAATAAAAATAAAGGCTAAAAAATGCAACCATTCTCATCTAGAATAGCTACTTTGACCCAGATGTTCTTGAATTTTCTTTTTCAGTGGCCTCCATAAGTCCTTGCTTCATAAATTAAATATGTGCAAGGTTATTTAATCACAGTAGTACACCCTATCTTCTCCACACCCCCACAATTGCACTTTTTTTTTTCATTTTAGGACCCAGTTCAAAATCTGTTTGCTATGACACATCTGAAATCTTACCTCCTCTATAAAACTTCACTGATAAGTCCATTCTCTAAATTCCTATATATATATATTTTAGTATAGAATCAAGTACTTGGTTAAAATTACGGTTCACTTCTTGGTATTTCTATAGAAAAGAAATAGGGTGTCTAGCTAAGTTAAATGACAATAAAACGTGAAGGAGTTATGTGGTATAGTATTGTGGTATAGAAGCTGTCCCAGAAAATCAGAATCTTGGTGATTCATTTGAATAATTTTTTAATTCCAGGTATTCTTTTTTTTAAAAAAATGCATAGCAAATAATTGGGCTAACATCTTTCTCTGTAGATAGTTTTACCTTGGGGGTGGGGGACACCTTTTACCATTTTTCTTTTTCAAACAGGTTAGTCATCAGATCTAGAGATGGGTGAAACTGTGGTGGTTCGGATCCCTTTGAAAATGCAGGAATTGGCCCTTCATTTTTATTCCTCAATAGAAAAGCAGTCCTCAGTCAAGGATGGGTTGAGACAAATAGACACACACATAGAAAGAGTTATTTTTCGGTTGGTCAGAGTGTTAGCATAAGAGCCGAGCACTTCTCCAGGAAAGGAGCCCTAA